CTTGTGTTTTCCAGTCTAGCCTGTTGGGGCACCATGCCCTGTCTCCAATGTCCACCCTCATTATTCCCTGGGGATCTTGCTACTCCCCTCCCCTGCTGTTCCGCTGCACTCCCCCAGTGCCTTGCCTCCGTGTGGCGGGGTTAATTATATTTTTCTTCATAAAATTTATCATCTAGACAATTAATAGCTCAAACTTTTGAAATCTTATGGAACACATTTCTATTCTGACACATCATGAGTCAGAATCAAGTAGTAGCAACTTGTTCATTCTGGAGAATGTTCATTCATTAGAACTCATCTACATTGTTGGGACATCATAACGTCCCTAGGACAGATGCATCAGATGTAATTCTTGCCTCATGAGGCTTACATTTACTGAGAGGAACAGACACTACCCTTGACATATGCTGTCAAATCAGTACCCACCATAGCAGCCCTCTGTACAATGAAACAAAACACTGCCCAGACCCGCACTGTTCTCAAAATTGGTATATTTGAGCCCATTATTGCAGCCATAGGAGAAATATATCTTGCAGAGAATCTTTGTCTTTTTCATGTACCTCCTACTTTATCAAGCCCAAGATCCAGGGACTATTATCTGCTGATAACATATCGAAATTTTGTTAGATGTCTATACCATCTTTTCTTCTAAGAAGCAATCTAACTGTACTCCTTTCAAGAAACATTTCTCTGCAGTCAGCCATGTTTTTACCATTCTTTTCCAGCCCCATAGTTCAAATGCACCCATCTTTCTCCAGTGTAGGGCAGTTGAAAATACATGTCTTGGGTCAGGTACAATGTGTAGTATTCAAAGGAACATCTTTGCGATTTAACAATTTCGAAAGGTCTTGTACAGCAGATTTTCCCACTAAAAACATCATTTGATTACTTGACAGATTCTTTTATGATCCATGATTGTGGATCCAAATATATGTGAAATTCCTGACAATTTCAAACTTGTCTCCATTTATGATAAAGTTGCCCATCAGTCCTGTTGTGAAGAGTTTTACAATGACGGCGAGTTACAATCTATCCTAGGGCTGCCATCTTTGACATTCACCAGCAAGCCCTCCAAGTCTTCCTCTCTTTCACTAAGCAAGATTTTGTCATCTCGGTATTGCAGATTGTTAATAAACCTTCCTACAATTCTCTTTGGTGTCGTCTTTATATAGTCCAACTTCTCAGATTGAATGAGTATGGGGATAGGGTACAACTCTGACACAGCTTTCCTTGTCTAACCAGTATTCCCTTTTGTGTTTGAACAATTGCTTATTGGTTGATGTGCATGTACCACATGGGCACTATTAAATGTTCTGAAGTCCCCGTCCCCCACCCCCATAACTTACCTGTAGTTTGTTATGGTCCACACAGTTGAATGCCTTCATAAAGTCAGTGAAACACAAGTAAACATCTTTCTTAAATTCATTGCTTTCAGCCAAAATTTATGACACCATTTATAATAGCCGTCCTTTCATGTCCTCTTCTGAATCTGGCCTGAATTCCAGGCAGCTCCCTGATGATATACTGCTGCAGCAATTTTTGATTTGTCTTTAGCAAGTTGGACTTTTCAGTAATATTAATGATATGATGTGAGCATGTCTGCCATCGGTTGGGCCACATTTCTTTGGACTGGGTACACCTATGGATCCTGCCAGTCATCTGGCCAGGTCACTGACTTCCAGATTTCTTAGCAAAGACTTATGAATGCTTCCTGCACTTCATTAGCTTGTTGAAACATTTCACTTGGTAGTCTGTCAATGCCTGGAGCCTTGTTTGGGGCGAATGCCTTCAGTGTAATGTGGACCTATTTCTTCAGTACCTCAATTCTTATGCTGCCTCTTGAAATCGTTGAACTTCAAGCCTTTCTTTTTTGGCACAGTGACTGAATTCCTTCCACCATCTTTTGATAATTCCTGCAGCATTCAATATTTTTCCTACAGAATTTCTTTCAGCTTGAGATATGCTGAATGCATTCTTCCTTTGTGGCTTTCTAACTCCAGATCTTTGTGCATTTCCTTATAATATTCTACTTTGTCTTCTGGAGATGCTCTGTGAAATATGTTGTTCAATAATTTTACTTCATCATTTGTTCCATTTGGTTTAGGCATTCCATATTCAAAAGCAAGTTCCAGAGTCTCATTTGACATCCAATTTGATCCTTTTTTTTGGCCCCTCTCTCATCTTTTTAATGACCTTTGGTTTTCTTCGTGGTGTGAGAATAACCCATACTGCAGGGGGTATTCTTTGAATTTTTTGTAGCTGCATCACCTTGCTTTCTGTCTCTGCCTTCCTATGGTTCGCTTCCCTCTCTTTGAGTCTTCTGTAAAGTTTTCCTAATAGGGACCACAATCATAGATTTAGGATAAGCCCTAATCCTATATGGCATCTTCCTAAGCATGATGGTATCTGCAAGATTCTCTTTCAGAAAGAGGACATAAATGTGTGTCCAGACCGACACAAATTCAACACATAAGGGGCTGTGGTGTTGCAGCAGTTAAGTGCTCAGCTACAAGCTAGAGGATTTTAGTGCTGTAAAGAATACAAAAAACTGTAAGACAGTTCTTCTCTGTCACAAGAAGTTGCTGTGAGTTAGAGTCACCTCTAGGGTACTCAACCCCAACCCCAACATTCAGCCCATACGCGACCTATGGTTTTGAAGAAGGCATTTGTTTTCTACTCCAAGGCGAAGAAGACACTGTCAAAAGGCTTTGAGTAAGAGAATTGTACAATATAACATAAATCTTGAAAATATCTCTCTGGTTTTGAGTACCTTGGAATAAGCCAAAATGGCTTTATCTTCCTCCCTCGTACACCGTTTAGGCAGATGAATCTATGTACTGCAGCTGTTGTCCAAATTCATCAAGCCGTTCCATAGCATGTACATGTATCCAAACAAACAAGCTCACGGCCATCAGTTGATGCCAACTCCCAGGGACCCTGGAAGACAGAGTAGAACTACATCTGTGAGCTTCTGAGATTGTCGCCCTTTCACGGGGGAGAAAGCACCATCTGTCTCCTACAGAGAAGCTGGTGATTTCGACTGTTGACCTTGCACTTGTCAACCCAACACAGAACTACTTCACCACCAGGGCCCCGGAGCTTGTACAAGATGCCCACAAAGTATCCTCAGCCCTTTCTGGTCATGTGAAAGTGAGAGGCTCAGAAATATGTGGAGCCAAATTGTAATGTTTCAATACTAGTGATTGATTTTCTATGATATACACTAGAGGATCATTTCTCTTAAACAACGTGCACCTCAATTATTGTTTCAGGACTATCCATCTTACACAGCCTTTGGCCAAAATCAGTATGCACAGTATTACTCAGCATCCCCTTATGGAGCATACATGACGTCGAACAACACAGCCGATGGCACATCCTCTTCAACCTCAACCTATCAGTTGCAAGAATCTCTCCCGGGACTGACGAGCCAACCAGGTACCGATCTTCATGCAGGTGAAATACTTTTGTATGTTTTGCTGTCTATAAAACATGGAGAAATGCCATTTCACAATCATGGTTGAAAGTCCCAGCTAATCTGCTTATGCTTAGTATGTATTCGCATCACTGTGATTAGACGAGGCTATTCTGGCATTTCAGTAGATTCTTCTTTTAGTTTAGAAAATCTAAACCTCAACGTGATGATGTATATTTCACATAAATATAAAACCCACCACAATTGATTTGATTCCAATTCATAGCAACCCTATCGCATAGAGCAGCGATTCTCAACCTGTGGGGTTGAGGTTCACCACCACAGGAGGAACTGTATGAAAGGGTCACGGCATGAGGAAGGTTGAAAAGCACTGGCATAGAGGAAAATTTCTCCTGTTGAGTTTCTGAAACTTTTTACATGTAGCTCATAGTGGATTTGAACCCCAGCTCTTGTAAGTAGCAGACACTGGTTAATCCACTGCACTACCAGGTCTCTTTATATATGAATAGAGATATAAATGTACTTATTACTGGGCTAATTGTGTGTGTGTATACAACTTAAATCACATAAATAGTTGTAGTACTTCCTTCTTTGGGTGCAAATTGTATCTTCCTCGTTGTGGTAGGGCTGCATAATTACAACACCTTCCAGAGTTCATCAGTTGCTCCCGCCTGGAACAAGAAGTATTTATGGCATCCGTGGATATTGTTGAATATCGTTGTCTAATCTGTGCACTTTTACAATCCCTTGTTGCATGAAGCTTTTCTTTTACTGGTTTAAATTTGCGAACATATATGCAATGCAGCTGAAGCCTTTAAGGAGAAAAGCAAGTGTAATCGAGATTTAGTGTAATCCCAATCATAATTCCAGAAAGACTTCCTAGGGAAATCACCAATCTGACTCTAAAGCTAAAAGTTTGGTTTTTTTTTAAGGAGTTAGAATAATTCCTTTGAATCTTGGGGGGTGGGGAGAACAAAGTTCAAGGATGCACATTAGCTGATTTCAGGGTTTACTATAAAGTCTTGGAATTAACACTCAAGAGAATGTGGTCATCGAAACCCCAGAGAGCAATGGAATCAAAGAGATAATATAGAAATAGACCTAAACATGGATGGGAAAACGGATTTTCCACAAAAATCCAACAGCAGCTGACTACGAGTAAATAATCTCTTTAACAAACGATGCTGAGATAGTTATGGAAAAGAAAAAAGGGAAAAAATCTTGACTCCACTCAACACACACCATATACAACTATTAACTAAGAAGAGACCCTAAGCTACATGTGAAAACTAAAACTAAAAGACTTGTCAAAGAAAGCATGGAAGCATCTTGGTGTGACCTTGAATGATGTGACACCGAACGTACAACCTCTGAAAGAAAACAAATGCTGCATTACACTATAAAATTAAGATCTTCACTCTCTGAGAAACATTATTACAAGGATAAAAGGGACAAACCAAACCATCGATTGGGAGAAAATAGAAAGAATATATAATAAATAACTTTTATTCAGTGTTTTATAAAAGTCCTGAAAATTCAATAACCAAAAAAAAAAAAGTCTAAGAGCTTGTATTACTTAGTCCTTAGTCTAAATGAGCTTATCTTCCTGCTTTCAGTTATTTGCAACATTCAAATCCAGCCGAGCTTTTTTTCTTGCTTTGAAAGGGAAATATGTCACAATACTGGAAGTTCTTTTTACCCGGACCAATGGGACCAGAGACTGCAATGCCACTTGATGGCCACTTGTGTGCCCATTGTGTACCAGCCATGTTGTTAGAAGCTTGTGCTTTCGTGGTGAATAAGCTCTCAACATACCTGTAAATTCCAACTAACCAACAGGGAAAAGAGCAAGTGATTGCATTGCAATAATGTCGACCGTTAAAAAAGGAGAACCACAAAATGATATGTGGAAATGCCAACAGTAAAGCTAATTTGGAGAGAAAGAATGAAGATGCCACTAAAAATATATACTAAAAAAACTAAAACAAAGCTTTATGGGACAAAAAGATAGGTTGCTATCATGAATCGATTCTTTGGAAGCATCCATTCCTTTTCATTGCCTGTACAGAATATCATGTCTAAACTAACTGTAGAACTTAGGAAAATTAGTCTATTATGTGGAGTTTGTCATGGGTTCCCCACATCTGGCTTCTTTCCGCCTTATCTTCCTTTCAAGTTCTCTCTCCTGTAGACAGGCAACCCCTTTTCATTACAGGCCTTGTTTCCAGAAGGCTTCCTGGGCAGAATTGCCATCTCACCTCAGCATCTGAACATCTGTGCCTTGTTCAGGGCCAAGGCCAGAGGAAGGTGAATGAGGCACTTGGGGAGCAAATGTAAGGAGGCACTCATTTTCAGGGTCTTTGAATTTTCCACCCTCGATACCTAAGTCACCTGACTGACGCTAGCCCAGTCGCCTACGTTCCCAATCCATCTGTCCCTCTTTGAGTCAGGCTTGCATTTCATCCAGATTCTTGCCTCAATTTAAAGAATGAGTGATTCCCACACCCTTACCTAACCAGTTGTGGTAACAAGATATTTGATATACTACCACACTGAGAATGGCTTTTCTCCATGATGTGTGTGGGGAAATCAGGATAGGATGACTGCCTTCAGAGGCAAAGCCACAGAAGACAAGATACGAAACTGAATAATGAACAGCACTAACAGGGCAATAAATGTTTTTTAACTAGGATAGCACCTCCCAGTTGGCCTCTGGGGCATTTCGCCTTAGGATGGTCCCATGTGTGTCAGGGGGTTTTCAGTGGCTGATTTTTCAGAAGTAGGTCACGAGGCCTTTCTTCCAAGATGCCCCTGGGAGGACTTGAATCCCCATCCTTTTGTTCAAGCAACTCAGTACTTAACCATTGTCATTACCCAAGTACCCCCAGAGAAGAGTTACCATCAATGAGAACTATCTCCATAGTCACATATGGTATATTCTGGGTAAAGCATTGATGAAAAGATTGTTTTTGCTCCTGGACCTGCAGGAAAGATATAAATTTCCAATAGCTGAAGAATAATCAATATTCAGTATCGTTATTTATATTAAAGATACTCTGCAATCATAGGTGTGATGACATGCAAAGTGGAATGTAACACACCCGTGTTTGTCAACAAAATGTTGCCCTATCTCCAGGTTTATATTCGTTGTCTACACCCACAACAAGGAGAGGACATGATTTTCAGATTTAATCATATTTTGGATTAGATTTAAAGAAGAAATTATTTCTACATGTCACTCTGTTATTCTCTCAGCCAAAGTCAAAGTAACAAGCATGTCTGGAGCCGGGAGGAATTCTGTGACTCGCCTCCATCCAGCACGTTTAAGTTTGACTTTGCCCTTTACCAATTTGGCATGCACCCAAAAAGAAAATGCATTTGGAACTGTGGGATTTTTCTTTATTATTGATGAAATCTGATGTAGTTAGTTCAAGGGGAGGAAAAGTATGTCCCATGGAGTGGCTCTGCATTTTAGACTCAAAACAGAGACCTAAAAATTAAATCCACAATTTTTCATAAAACCTTCGCTGTTGACATCTCCCATGTTTAAAATAAAAACATGCCTTATGTTCAATAAGAGACAGCTGTTTTTCTGATTTAGAGATACCCTTAATGAAATAAAGTCGAATCTAAATATCTGGAACTTACAAGGTGCAGTTATTCATTACGGTACCGATTAAAGGGTAATTATTCAATCCTGTATAGTGCTGGCACAGGAAAAAGCTTAAGGCAATCGGTAATAACTGATGTTACTTGGAAATTGCAAATAACTAATGTTCAGTGATGTTCCTAACGAGCTAGTTTGACAATAGATAATAAGGAAACACTACTGTGCTAATTAAAAACAGACATCTTCGTTCATTATCTTTGTAAAGATCTTTCTTTGCCTTTTATATAAAGACCACCTCAGGAATATATTTTTAATTTGCATTGAGAATGTTTTAGGATGGATATGCACATTTAGATGAGAGATATAGTAATAATGCCTCCCTTTCAAATATCTTAAACATCTTTAAAATTAGAAATTTTCTTGTCCTTTGCCCTGACTCCTCTGTAAACATACCAGTCCATTAGTTCATTGAACTGATCAGCGCTCCAGCAATGTAAGGGATACAGTGAGATCATGTCCCTTTTTGAAAAGAAGCCGGTTTCTCAAGCAGAATGCTTGATCTTGTCATGGCTGCTAGACTTTGCACGTAAAGGTTTGGGGAAGAAAAGTGCGCACTCGTCGAATTAAAATAAGAGACTTTAGATGGGAGGGACACACAGCCCACATTTACCTTCTCTGCCAATTTGCTGCTTTTCTTTTTTTCCTGCCTTTACCACTCATGTGTCCATTGCAATGACCTGAGTTGAAATTTGGTAGGAGAGAGAGTGGAATTAACAGTTTTCTCTTAAAAATAAAATAAAGTCAGCAAATGTTTAATGACAAGTTCAAATTCCTGCCTTGACTCTTTTCTCAGAAGACAGGATCTCATTCACTGCCATTGAGTTGATGTTGATTCTTAATGACCTGATAGGACAGTATAGAACTGGTCCTGTGGGTTTCTGAGACTGTATCTCTTTACAGGAAGTGGAAAGCCTCATCTGTTCCCCTAGCAGCGAGGGCACTATGCCCTTGGGGCTCCTGGGACAAGGCCAGTGTCTGCTCTTGATGAACATGTGCTTTCCCTCTGACCCAGTTTTCCCACTACTAAATACATGCATACAGCCGGAATGAGGCTATGTGCCCACAAAGACATGGACAAGAATGTGTATGGCCACTTCATTCATAAAAGTTCCAAATTACAAAGAACCCCAAATATCCATCAAGAGAATGGATAGACTGGAATATAACATGTGGTGCAATATGATACGATATAATGAAGTTCTAGGCAGGCGCTCCGAAGGAACTGTGAGACAAGCATTGGACTGCTAACTGCAGGGTCTGAAGTTCAGACCACCTGCTGCTCTGCGAAAGAAAGGTGTGGCTGTCTGCTTCAATAAGGACTGATAGTCTCAGAAACCCTATGAGTCAGGATTGACTAGACAGCAAGGCGTTTTGCTGCTGTTGTTCAGCCAAGATGAAGAGAGCAAGTTGTTCTGGGCTTCCACATAGACGAAGCTCAGCATAATGAACAGTGGATGAGTCAAACACACTTTCAATATTTTCTACAAAGACAGGCTATGCACACAAAACTGCAGAGCTGATACCAAGGGCTCAGGCAGAAAGCAAATGTTTTGAGAATGATGATGGCAACAAATGTACAAATGTGCTTGACACAGTGGATGGACATATGGATTGTGATGAGAGTTGTATGAGCCCACAATAAAATGATTTTAAAAAAGACAGACACAATTAGAGAAGCACAATTTCTTTATCTACAAAGTCGCCTGTTCTTGAAGCATTTTAAGGTCCATTAGTAACTGGGAGAGAATTATTGATGGATACTATGTCTTTGCATTGATTCAAACCCAGGCAGATAATATTAGGAAAATGCTGTTTCAGAAATAATGTTCAAAATAGTTCTCGACGTTCGTGTGTGTTCAGATATGCCACGTCTCATTCTTTCATGCCTATTTGAGCAAGCTGAGACCTGGCTCACTATAACCCACTGCCCTTGAATCAGTTCCGATGCCTCTCATCGCTCTAGAAAAGAGTAGACTTGTGCCTGTGCGTATCGGAGGCTGTACATTTTCACAGGAGCAGAAAAACTCTTCTTTCCCCTGAAGACACCTGCCTGGTGGTCCCAAACGTCTCACTTTGCAGTGGACAGATCAGCGCATAGTCCACTCCACTGTTGGGCCTCGGGTTTGCTACAGATGGTGCTAAATTCAACTTCATGACCAAGGGAGTTTACTATTCCGCTATTGACAGTAAATAGCAGTGTCCCATGTGATGAGTGGTGCTAGAAATGTTTGAAGAGCAAATAATATTTGCAGCACAGACATTTTGTGTACTGATTCTAACATGCAGCACTTCCCAAAGAAAATGCTGTAGTCCACAGAAAGAAAAGTTACATGCTTCTGGAAATTACCATCTATTTTTATAATACATCTAACTCGGTGTCTATGTATTACGAATGATATTATGTGTTAGACAACTGTTTACAAAGATTGATATCGGGGAACATTTTGTTTGCTCTGCGAGTCTTTTGGGACTTAGATTCATAGTTGCTAAATCTGACTTTTTTATCCCTTGTCATTATCATCGATAACCAATTGCTGTGGAACAGCTTTTAAATGTACTTTGGAGATTTTTGAATCCCAAACTCTGTGAAACTCTTGATTTTTCCCTGTTAGGGAAATACACTAGTGTGTGAAATGTACTCATTTCTGGGATGTTTCTACCAGACAGCTGGTTGGCTTTCAAATGAGAACCAGTTACTTAGAGAAAATGGTGCTTCACAGACTGAATATGTTTACCGAAAGTAGACATTGTGGGAACTTCAGCGAATCAAAGTTAAAAGTCATTGTCATGGAGTTGATTCTAGCTCACAGGGACATTACATGATGGAGTGGAACTTCACCAGGTGGTTTCTAAGGCTGCAAATCTTCATAGAAACCGGCTGCCACAACTCTCCCTTGTCCTGTGGGCTTCACACCACCACCGATGCTTCAGTTCGCAGCTCCGTGCTTTCTCCACTGTGGCACCAGGCTGTGCCATGGCTTTTTCCCAAATCAAATGTAATGCATGTAAAAAAATGCATTGTGAATTAGCATAAACATATAAATTAATTCGGCTCAGATAAATGATAGAAGCTTTTTATTCTAATTGATGCTGCATGTGCTTCTCAGTAGAATACAAAGCTGCCCTTTCTAAAGTGCCACATCTGAGTAGATGGAGATTCAAATTTGAATTTCACTTTACTGGATTCAAAGGTCTCTAATGTAAAAGGAATTGTTTTTTAGAACAGCTCAGGGGAAACAATAGTACCTAAATGTCTCCCAGAGGAGCCCTGGTAGTGTAGTGGTTCTGTGTTGGGCTGAGATCTACACGGTCGGCAGTTCGAATCCACCAGCAGTTCCAAGGGAGAACCACTGGGCTTTCTACTCCATCCACAGTGACAGAGTCTCGGCAATGCACAGGGGTCCTTATGAGTCCGCTTTGACGGTTGACAGCAAGTTTGGACGTGTTTCTAATTTGTTCAGATTTGTTTACATCATTATCTGCTTGCCTGCTTTCAGGATTTTTATACTTTCCTTTTATTAATTAATTAATTTGATACTTAAGCTTTATGAGAAAGCTTGATAGTCATGATTTTTTTATGTTTAACACTGGTATAATTTGAATTGAATGTGTTTAGTCATCTGAATCTTCTAGATATGCTTACCTTCTACCTATAATTTAATCAATGTAAGTCAAGCTTATCCCTCTCCATAATTCAAAAGAGAGTTGCTATTCCTCAGCTTTCAATATGCAAAGAAACTGTGATTCAGAAATATTGTGTAAAACACCGAAGGTGCATTGTTAGGTTTATAACTTTATAACAGGTTTATAACGTTATAACCTGCTTCCATTACTTTTAACCATATAAAAATTTTAGACTCCCATGGGACATGAAGAAGCCGGTGGACAAAAAACCAGAAGTTGAGGGTGTGGCTTGGTTGTGGGGTACAGATATGTGCATTCTAACTTACAGGACCATGTGCACAGGAGTGGGATAGGTAACCTGGGGGACGTGAAGTGAGAAGAAAACCGATAAAAGTGTAGACCTCTGTTCAGTACAAGTACCTGAGAAATGAGGAGGCTGTGAATCCATGTCTCCCAGAGACAGGACCAATGAGAGAGAGGCAAGAAAGGGCACAGGGGTCGGGGAAACAGGACAGAGCGTGGCTGTTGTGTATATGAATTAGCCAGTTGTGAGAGACTCTTAGTAAGGGTGTCAGTAGCATTTTGATAAACAAAGGCTAGATTACAACATTGGTGATATCAGGAAATAGAGACAAATGTGGTGTCTAATACTGTATCCACTGACCCTGTATGGCTATTGTGCACTTGTAATGCAGTAACTGTAGGGTTAGCACACCTCTCATTGTAAAAAATCACCTTGGATTTCAAAGATGTGGTTTAAAAAAACCCTTAAAATGTCTTGATTATAATTTTTATACCGATTACATGTTGAAATGATGATATTTTCACTCTACAGGCTCCATGAAAATACGTGCACAAAATTAATCCTACGTGTTTTGTTTTACTTTTCTAATGTGATACCTGGAATAAATTATATTGTGTATGTATTTGCTTTTGTGGCTCACGTGGTGTTTCTATTGGACAACTCCATCATGAATTATTCTTTTAAGAAATCTGATTTTAAAAGAGGAGATAGAAAGCGAGGAGTGTCTAGGTCGAAGGTGGAGCCGAACAGAACAGCTTTTTAATTCATCAATTGCCCCTGGAGGGAAGAGCGTGAAGGGAAGGTGAAAGGAGGGTGTGACTAATGGAGCAAGCCCCTCGGAGGTGGGGGTGGAGGCACACGTTTGCAGGGGGAGAGACGTTATTGACCTGGGAGAAGACATCCGATCCTCTGGATTCAGAGAGCGAGAATTGAGCTCAGACCTAAGTGTCGATAAACATGTAGGTAAGGTAGAGACAGACCTCAAAGGCACATGGAGTGTAAAAAAATGCCCAGTTGAATACTTTATATAGATTACAACTCGGGGGGATTTGTGGAACTTCAGAGGCGTTCACCTCAGCCGTCAGGATTTCTGCCCCCACGTCTGAAACTTGCAGAGTTGAACTAGGTTAACGCCTCAATCTAGTTGAACTAGATTGAAGCCTCCCTGCTTCAAATACTGTATTCAATGTTTCCTATCATTATTTTGCTACAGTTAGAATTGTATTTGTGATCAATAATTTGTCATAAGGAGGTTTCTGTTTTAGAGAAAGTTGTTAAGACACACAATAATGAATAATACCTGTGGAGGGGGGAGTGCTATTTTTGACACAAGCTATGCTTCTTTACAGGAGAATTTGATACGGTTCAGAGCCCCTCCACACCCATCAAAGATCTTGATGAGAGAACATGTAGGAGTTCGGGGTCGAAGTCCCGAGGAAGGGGACGGAAAAACAATCCCTCTCCACCTCCCGATAGTGACCTAGAGGTATGCCTGCTCATCCTGAACGTGTGCAGTTCAACATTTAGTTTATTGGATAAAATCTTGTTTGCCAAGATCCTCCACCAGATGCACTGATGCAATGGCTGCAACATTGAATTCAAGCCCAAGGACAACTGTGAGGGTGGCCCCGCCGCAGCAAGGCTGCCTTCTGCTTGTTTTTAGGTCTCCATCAGTCAGAGCCGACAGATGGCACTTAACCACCACCACCTAGTTTCACAGATTTTCAGACTTATAAAGCTGTACCATGAGTTGAGTGCATGTCCCCTTCAGTTGTCATATCACGGTGGGGAAGTTTAATGTTTCCTCCATGACAAGGTTGAAAACAATAATACAAGTGATTTTCATAAAAATTCTTTGTAAACCACCGTGTGCAGGTCGGACACAGCTGCTCTGGCCTAATCCAATTGGAGGGTCCAAATTTTGCAATTTCTTTTTTAGGAGTTGTTCTTGGCAGTTCTAAATTTCATAAATCCATGAGATAGAAACTTTACACGACACAGAATTCCAAACAGAAATGTCTGATCGATCATGAAATGTAAACATGTGGTTTAGATATTCTTGGTTTTATTCTTATTATCACTTTGGCCTTTCAGGCTTTTTGATGGCTAAATCTGACACATTTGAAGACAAAAATGACACAGCAGAACATAGTCTATAAAACGGTATCTTGATTACACCCCAAAATGAAGCTAAGTGTTTATGACTTGTTAGAGATCTCTGTTTCCTTAAAACATTGCCACTCATTTTGGGTGTGTTGTCTTGTGTGTCAACAGCGTGTGTTTGTCTGGGATTTGGACGAGACCATCATTGTTTTTCACTCCTTGCTCACGGGGTCTTACGCACAGAAGTACGGCAAGGTAAGGAATCAAATGTCAGCGCTCACCCCCCAATCTTGTTAGAACTTTGTTTCCCAGTAAGACCAATGGTCATTAAAAAGACTAAGTGTTTTTATTACAGCTTGTCAAATGTGTTCCTGATTATTTATTTCCAATGGCTCATGGTTCTTTGCTGTGAACAGCTAACTAGAATTGGGTTTGCCATCCCTTTTTCCCTTCCTATTGACCACGTTTTTTGCATCAAGACCAAGAATCTGACTCATATATAATTGTTTTAGAAGAATTGTAAATTCAAATGGACTTTGAAGCATGAAATCATATATATTGTCAACTAAGGACATTTCATCAGGTCGATATAAGTTAGAATCGGCTTGATAGCAGCGAGAGTGTTTTTTAAGAAGGGCGCTTTAAGAAATTGCATGAAATAATGTTTTGGCTTTAGAATGCCATTTAAAATAAACAAGGCATTGGTCTTATCCTTTGAATAAATGAATAAATTTAAGAGCTGAGAGGTATCATTACTTCTCTTCCTAGATCTTTGTCATTGTTTTCATAGTTAGCGCCTTACAATAGTGCTGTGCTGTATAAAGGCTTTTGCAAATCCTGATACATAGCAGACAGACTTTTCTTCTGGAAACATGTTCCTTCCAGCCACGTTGCTAAGGCTATTACTATTTGTATCTAACAGTCGTCTGTTGAGAACTTGTTGGCTTGTCTTCAGCTATCGCATACAGAGTTTGGAATTGCCGTCTTCTGAGTTGTGCTTCCTTCACATCTCACACTTACCCACAAACAACTCACATCCAGTCAATGCTGACTCATAACCACCCTATATCTAAAGCGCAGAGTGGAACTGCTCTCTAGGGCTTCTGAGGCTACCAGTCTTGACTAAGGCATGGCCTCATCTTTCTCCCACGAAGCAGTTGGTCGAACTGTGGGCCTTACAGTTGGCTTACCAACTTGTAAACAACTATGCCATCACTGCTCCCACAAACGTGTATTTCTATGTCTTCCTAGGTGTAAAATCATACCTTATTTGGTAGTAGGTCCTATTAATTCAATATGTAGTTTTCAAAAGTATGTCAAGAATTATTCTCAAGTAAACTATGAATTGCATCAAGCACTTCTTCCTATGTTTTGCTCTTGGTGACTTGGCATTGTCATTTGCCTTTTAAAATAAGTAAGAGATGTTGCTAACAGATATGACATGTAAAAATGTTAACTACTATTTGCAAGAAAGACTTCTAGCCCCTTTATTGTACTCACTATCATCTAAAATGGTGGTCACTCAAGTGGGATTTTTGCATATTTTCTAGAGTTACGTAAGATGCTCCATTGTGATAGGGGAAGAAAATATGAGCATGTCTATGTGTTTCATAATGCACAAACTTAGTAAATGCATACATATTTTTATAATGTAACATATATATAATTTACACTCAAATTCTTAATAGTGATGAAGTATCCACTGTAAAAGTTTCTAGATAAGTATCTAAAGTATTGGTTTTGTCTGGGATATACAATGCATTATCAGGGCACACAGTGAAATGTTCTCTTGAACTAATTGTAATGCTTTTGTGTGGCTAGGTTTCATATTACATATACTTAACTTAAGTATCCAAACTTAAACACATGAATTCATATACCGGACTTCAAGATAATCACCATTAGAAACAACACCTAAAATTCAGTGCACCCTCAAATGTGCCAAATTAATGATGGAATTCATCATTGGAAATTACGTTTGGATTTCAAATACATTTCTTGTCTTCAAACCTTCAACCTTTAATGATTCTTTTTAAAATTTTGTAAATAGTAGGATCATTTAGACTCATAGAATTATGTAGAGAGCATGGTAAAAATGCCACTATATACATTAAAATTTTTTTCCAACATCATAAAGCAAATAAATTGCTTTCCTGAGGGCCTCAGAGTCATATATTGGCTCTCAGAGTGGCTCCCAAAACAAAGGGAAGAGATGAAATAAGGCTCCTATACCCAACTTTCCTAATGCTGTGCCAATCCATTATCCCTGATATCAATTCTCACTCCTTCCTGTAGTATAGGCTTTCATGCCTTACAGAACTCACACACTGGTAAGGAAAAGGCACAAGTGTTAGGGGTGCTGTTCAGTCTCAGATCTAATGTCCAGCTGTCTCTCTGGAGGATCCTCCTGACCAGCCAGCCTAGGGAAACAGGCGAAATCAGAGGCCACACCTCAAGTCCCAGGACCTGGGGTCGGGCAGAGGTTCGCCAGATGCAGGAAACCGAGTGAAAGAATGACCGTTCCAAAGGGGAAAGTGGGTCTCGTTTGCTCAGCACTCGCTCATCTGAGAAAGGGGCTCATGACGCAACGTTGGCTTTGGTGGAGGTGTGGTTTTGCCTTCTGAAGAACACGCCCCCAGAGAAACACGAAGGGAAGAGACTTGAGTCAGACCCTCTCATAAGTTGGGGACCCTGAGTATATTCCACCTCAATCCTGTATGATTAGCATACCAGATAATGTCCTTGGAGAAGGTATCCTAACCATTGGGGTGGAAGCTTGAGTTCACAATGCGTCCAAACCGGGAGGACTCTGGTTACAAGTGCCATTTGAAGTAATTGACAACAGCTCACTGTTATGAATGACATTCAAATACATTTTATCATTTAATCCTCATAAGCACTGCACTGTAATTTGTCATCAAAATTTTATTAGTGGAACACTTAGATAATCAAGGTTTCACTAATCCTGCGTTTGCTACAAAATGATAAATGCTTGTATGTGTACTAGAAACCATCAGTCTTTTAGGACAAATTCTGTTTCCATACTGTAATTACTGCTCTGTGTTACTTGAAAGAGTTAGGTCTTCGTTGTCTAGTGCTGCTCTAACAGAGATACCACAAGTAGATGACATTAAGAGGCATGCATTTGTTTTTTTCAGTGTATGTGGCTAAAGATTCTAATACAGAGTGCTAGCTCTGGGGGAAGGCTTTCCCTCTCTGTCACCTCTGGGGATGATCCTTGTTGCCTTCAACATCAGTGGGCCTGACATACCTTAGAGATCTCCGTGTGACCTAGCATCAGCCTGTTAGTTCTAGAAAGTTCCCTGAGCAAGAGTAGATGCTTGCTCTCTCCTCTCTTGCTTGCTTCACTCTCCTTTTATTTCTTGTGAGATGCAAGGTGATACAGACTGTCTCTCAGGGAAACTCTCCTGACATTGGAGTAGGGCTGGACTTGATTAAGGCTGTTGTATTGCACCACTTGTCTGTCAGTTTGTCTGACTCCGGTGTCTTAAGTGTTTCTATGATGCTGGAAGCTTTGTCACTGGTGTTTCAAATACCGGCTGGGTCACCCAAGGAGAACAAAGTTCAGGTGAGCTTTCGGATTACAAAAAACTGGCTGTCCACCTCTTAGCCACTGAATACCATTGTCAGATTTAGTGCCAGAAGATGAACCATTCAGGGTGGAAGGCGCTGCAAGTTTAATTGAGGAAGAGCTGCCTTCTCAGAGTAGAGTCGACCATAATGACATGGATGGAGTAAAGCCTGTGGGACCTTGATTTGCTGATGGAATACAACTCAAAATGAGAAGAAACAGCTGCAAACATCTATCACCAATCGGAGGCGGGATGTATGATGTATGAATTTAGGAAGATTGGAAGTGAACAAAAATAAAATGAACCTCATAAAGATCAATATCCTAGGCATCAGGGAGCTGAAATAGACTAATCTTGGCCATTTTAGATCAGAAAATCATATGGATTACTATGCCAGGTATGAAAAATTCAAAAGGAATGACATTGAATTTGTTGCCAAAAAGCACATTTCAAGATCCATCTTAAAGTGCTGTGCTGTCTGTGATCTTTATACGCCTACAAGAAAGTCCAGTTCATACAACCATTATTCAAATGTATGCACCAACCACTAAAAGTAGTAAATGAGAAATTAAAGAATTTGATCTTGTTTTTCTTCCATCTGAAAGTTGGCCAAACATGCAATCATGATGCATTGCTATGTATTGACAATTTGAATGCAAAAGTTGGAAACAAAGAGGAAGAAATAGTAGCTGTAAAATAATACTTTTATGGTAAAAACCAAGGAGGAGATCACATGATAGAATTTTGCAAAATTAACAACTGTTTCACTGCAAACACTTTTTAAAAAAACAATATAAGCATCAACTATTTATATGTACTTCACCAGGTGGAATATAAAAAAGCTTTCCAACCAAACTCACTGTCACTGAGTTGATGCTGACTCTTGGAGAACCCAAAAGACAGGGTAGAATTGCCCCGTGAGTTTCTGAGACAGCTATCATTTACGGGAGTAGAAAGAGCCGTCTTTCACCCTATGAGTGACTACTGGTTTCCAACTGGTTTCCAATCTGCTGACCCTTGCAGATTACAGCCCCATGCATAACCATTATGCCGCCAGGGATCCTGGAGATGAAATGTACAAGAATCAAATTGACTACCCTCTGTGGGAAAAGAGGATGGAGGAGCTCAACATCAGCAGCCAAAATAAGACCCGGGGCTCACCGTGTAACAGCCCTTCAATTGCTCATATGTAATGAAGAACAAGTAAACAAGTTCATGAGAGCCAAAATAGGACATTGACTATATACCACCTGAATTTCAAAAACCTCTCAAGAGTAGATTAGAGCCATTGAGCAATAATGACAGAAAGTCTGAAGAGCGGTGGGAATGACATCAAGACCATCATACACTAAGAAAGCAAATGGTCATTAAAAAGAGACAGAAAGAAAACATCCAAGTGAATATCAGAGGAGCCTCAGAAACTCGCTCTTGATCACGGAAGAGCAAAGGCTATTCCATATAAGATATGGTGAAGCAAGAGAGCTGAACAGAAAACTTCAAGTCTTGAGAAGACAGAGCATAGTAATATAATGAATTGCCCAAGCATTTTGGGTTGGAAAACCAAAGACAAAAATGTGAGACTAAAGTTGTCATATTAAAAGATTACGTTGGCAAAATATTGAATATTGCAGAAAGTGTCAAAAGAAGATAGAAGGAATACAC